TATAATACAAATTTACTAAATAATTAGATTTATGTCCAAGTCATTCTGATGTGTATGCCTTGTAGATCTCTTTAAAATTTGTCAAATTTTCGCCAACAATAGTAAGATCAATGGTCCGTTGCTCATAAATGGCTCGAAAAAATGGCTCAACTTCATATGATGAATTAGTATAGTAGGTCAAGTTAATTGAATTCTGACCCAGACATATTTTCCTGTCCAAAGTGACTTTACTTTCAACTTCGCATTCGTCTTATCTTCACTCCCCTTCTAGACTATAACCCGTACCACATGACAGCGGATTTTTATTGACCAGCTGTCGAAACACTCTTGTTGACGCTGTTCCCGAGGCAATTTTCTTCGATTCCAGTGGAAACGTTCTAAGCTTTTGTTCGTCTTATGACGAGCTATCGTCCTTAAAACCGTATTCAAGCTAACGAGTCGGTGAGAGGGTTTGACTTGTTGGCTTTAATATGGTTGCACGGATGATAGCCTGCTCTGAGAATAACCATCATACAGCATCAACAAGAATTTTCATGTAAAGCCAAGCGATAGCTGGTCAAGAGGGATCCGCTGTTGTTATCTGGTGGGACTAACTTTCTAATCTCTTCACCAAACACTTTCATCAATTATAAACCAAGAGATTCCTCGAAACCCATCTTTTCTTCGCATAATCCGTACGGCTCATGAAGCTTTAGTGGCATTCGCTATAGGGAATAACCCTATCAATTCTCCTTTGATAAGATTAAAAATACCAGTCGTTTAACGAGGAAGAATACAAATCTCTACCGCCTCTGAAATATTGGATGGATTTTTATGGCAGTAACTATGCGACGAGTCACTTTATCTCCTCCATTGGTCCGAAAGTGGTAGTAAATCAGTCGCTTTTTGGCCTTCACAACTCACATATATGTGGTGGACCAAAGTCGAGTCCAGATTACAATTCCAATTCTATCATCATACGGTTATGCTATTATCTCCTTATGATGATTTATTATTTTCTGTCAGAGCCAATTCAGATAATCAATTTTAGCGCTCAATCCGTCAACATAACTTAAATCTCTTCTCTTTTAGCGCGGTGATTCCCAAACTGTGCGCCGCGGCCTCTTTACAGGGGCAGGCTCATCCATCATATTAATTTTATGTTAATAAGGTAAAAAAAAATAATGAAGATACACGAGTTATATTTATTTTTATCTCTTACTTACGAATAGTCATACTGAGGGTAGGGCACCATGGAAAAATTTTAATTGAAAAAGGGCGCCGCGACTAGGAAAAGTTTGGGAACCACTGTTTTAGGGATTAAAAATCGGCAGAGTTGTGTCTATAAAAATATTTATTTGGTCATCCTTTAATTACGCTTTTTTCACCTTTCTTGTCCTTAACCCTTACTCATCGGCAGGTATCAATGCTCAAGAGATGACGGCTACAGTTACTAGCCCATCCGCCTTTACTGAGAAATGTGATATTTTAGACCTTGGCGACTCCAACTACAGCATCAAGTTTGTACCGAAAGAGATGGGTGTGCATACCGTGGCAGTCAGGCATCGTGGAGCTCATATTCCCGGTAAGAACTTTGATAAGTCTGTGTGCGATATGTAAACTATTGTTCTGCGCATCTCCAGCAGGGCTTCCAGCAAAAGCTGCAATTAGTTGGCGTCACTGTGAAAAACTTGTAACTTGTCTTTGGCTACTGATAACATATGTCTGCATTCACTTGCTTATGACTGACAAATGCTTTGAATAATTGATCTCTTTTGTTGGCGATTTCCACATTTAGACAATTGTCCTCACAACAATCGGCCCCGTGATGTCATTGAAACAAATGCTACTACTAGCTACAAAATAGTAGTAGTGTATTTAGTTTAATGGCAAATGAACTGTTTCTTATGCTTACGGAATTGGCAAAAAATGATCTGATTTGAAATAGCCTTTGTAACGAAAGTCATACTTGTATTCTATATCTTGATTGTGGATGGTTCTGATTTGGCTGGAGTTGCGAATAAGCTGTGAGGTGGGTTCGAAATTGCAATCTAGCCAAGGTGGGAATGTCTTCAGATATGCATGAAAAATGGAATTTATTGTACAAATCACGTAATTCCCTTAATTTATCGTGAACAGACCCATTATCAGTCAAATAAGAAGCTAGATGAAACTTGCATATCTCAATTGCATTTGTCAACCTGATATATTTAAGCTAAAAAGTGTTACTCATCCCTGTGCTCATAAAATGGACCAAAACTCTACGTAATTGTAGTGTTTTAGCTGCCAGGTAAAGACATGATTTTTCCTATTGTCGATGTAGCAAACCTGTACCTGTTGTTGCAATCGAAGATGTCACTTGTTGTCGAAGTGATTAAGTTTAGAAATTGTGAAATTCAATGTGGCCATTAGGTCTACTCATATACTTTTGGGAAAGATTTTATTATCAGTCCTTAGCTCGAATTATTACTCATGAAGTACTGATACTATATTCAGTTAATATAGTGTCAGATACTGCATTGCTGCTAATATTATAAGAATATACAATATGCTATACTATGTAATACTATAATACAATATAAAACATTATAATATAATATATTTTGCAGAAAGAATATGTAAAACCCCGGTTGTCCCTCCACTCAAAAGGCCAGGTTGTGGGGTTGGAGGCCAAAGTTGCCAATCTGCTTTAGGCGCACTTGTGGCCATGCTTAATCCAATCTGTTTGTGCCACTTGCAGGTGGACCCCAGCGCAACCGTTAACATTTTGTATCACCATTTTCTCTACTTGCCCACTTCTCTCAACCAGGAAGTCCCTTCCAGTTCACCGTCGGTCCGATAACCGAGGGTGGGGCGCACAAAGTACACGCCTCGGGAGCCGGCCTGCAGCATGGGCACACCTACTCGACCAATGAGTTCAGCATTTACACTCGCGAGGCTGGTGCTGGTGGACTTTCTATTGCCATCGAAGGACCGAGCAAAGCCGAGATAGATTTTGAGGTAAGTTCACTTGGTAGGATTCATTCACATCGGAGAATTGGTTTTGGGGCATCGGGAAAGTCGACATGTCTATGCTTCAGCGACTACAACTGTCTGTCAACGTAGGCATCAAGACCTGCTTTCATGACAATTGTCGTTGCCTCCATAGCCGATTAGGCCATCGGCCATGCATCTGCACCCCTGAGCCAACGCTTGCTCCCCGGTGCAGCTACCTGGTCTAGGCAGGCCAAAAGTCTCTTCCTTGAGGCAAGGAGGAGTCATATTATTACTAGCTTTAACTTCCTTTGGTTTTGATTATTCGTTTTCTTAGTTAGAGGCATCATTTGTGTTGGGCATAGCTCGGATAGGTTGTCCTGATGTCTAAACTCAAAACCTTCTATCGAGGGTTATGAAGACCGTGATGGTGTGGTCGTAGTCTCCTTTCGTTCTATAGACGTAGTTTGACCTTGATTTCGCAACTTGGTCATATTGACAGGAACACTTAGAGGAACGCACCTTGTCCAGAGTCCATTGTATGCATGAGCATTTCCAAAGTCGGACCATGGACGTGGTACATTCCCAGATGTTTCGCCAGCATCGTCAGTGAGTCTCGCCATTCTTAGCACCACACAACAACTCATCGAAGAGACAAGTGAAGCCGATCCTTTCACCAAATATGTGCTAAACAGTTGTGGTATTTCTTCTTCCTCCCTGAGCTAATCACCAATACTATAGCCTCGTATCACGACTTCACTATCACAATTTTTACTTGGTTATTTAAATGTGGTATTGTGTGCCCTTTTGAGCGGATTCCATAAGAACTCTCCACACCCCACAAATAAGATAGAC